CCCCTGTTATCTGGAAGAGAAGATTGCAGTCGTGCTTTGTTGAAAAAGTAGGAGTTACAGGTCCACAGTGCACCTTTCCCAATTCCCACAAATGTGTCAGATTGCTTTCAGTTATAGTATTATGTTTGTTCTTCAGCACAGTTTTACTAGAAGGTTTAAAGACAAATTTTAACTGTATTTAAGACTGATGAATATTGGTTTGAACATGTAGAGTTGTCCCATCTACATTCCAAAGATTATCTAGAAATGAAAGAGTTGGCTCCAGTGCTAGTCCTACTCAAAGTACACCCTTTAAAATTAATGGACAAGGCTAACTTAATTAATTTCAATAGGTCCACTCTGAGTAGAACGTAGATGTCTAAAACTAAAAAAATTTAAAATATTCTTCTGTATCCTGCTAATCTCTACTACCATGTTAATGATTGCAAAGCACTGGGCTGTAACCTATTAGGTTATAAACTTAGTAAAGACTATATAATTAAGTGAATGCACACAAGGAGAAAAGTGAGGTTTTCTCCAGCCACAGTCCTGCTCTTGACACCAGTGGCTACCCCATATTGTCTTCCATACCTGGCTTTTTATAGTGTATAACATGGTATGAACAAGGCTTGAAAAGCCCTTGTACATGTTGAGAACTTTCCCCATAACTCTTTCGATACCCCATCATTGTTTATTCCTGCGATTTCTAGCTTACACTGCTTTGATTCATGCTCCCAGGGTGGGTCGCAACATAGAAGATATACTACAAATCTAAATCACAAACAAATTACAGTCTAGAAGTTAAAAGAGCAAACCAAATTTTGAAACAATCTGTCAATGTACAGCTGACCTCATTACATCAACTCCCTATGAAGGTCTGAGCAAAGAGGTGTATCTGTAGCTGACTTCAAAAGTTAAACTATGCACCATAACTATTATTCTTATTAGATTTTATTAGTCTTTTTTTGGGTGAAGAGGGACAAAGAAGAGGAAAAAAACAAACCATGCATAAATAGAATCCAGAAAACATTTCTAAAATGAAACATTGGAGAGACCCAAACTATCAGCAGCACAATCAAGTTCAAAAATGTGTTGGTCAATATGTAGGGAAGGAATCTTGACATTCTCCAGTTGGAGGATGCTGTGCAGTGTTGCTAACAGATGTTTCTGGGTATGGTGTTCCAGGGTCACCACAGGAAAAGCCCTAGTTTGTATTAGGCTTAATTTAACTTTGCAACTCCATCAACTTTTCTGAATATTGCATCCCATTCCATGAATTGTGTTGGGTCTGACCGTATTCACAGTTGACAACAAATGCGTTTTAAAGATGCAACACCTGGATGAAGAAATGCTTTCAGCAAACATCTGTCTCAACCACAGGCAGCAGCTCCGGAAGCCAAAAATTCACTTTGCATTGTGGAGTAGGTGCGGGGAGGGGGCTTTTTGAAGGTTCTGAGAGTCATCAGCATGCTATCAAAGCTTATCTTCCCCTCCCAAGCTGGTATCACCTCATTAGCAAGCCAATGCTGTGCAAACAGTGTGAAACAGCAAAGTCAGAATAAACAATCACTGCTCAGCTCCTGCTGTTGTATACAAGGCTCATAAATGTAGCAAAACAGAATTGTAGTTCACAAAACCTTTAGCTCAGCTGGGCCTAACTACACATGACGCTTGCAACCATGTAGCTTTTTTCTTCTTTATTTAATTACAAGTGGGGGGTGGTGATTACTGAGAATGTAGAGCATGGGAAGACAAGGCTTAACCCTTCTACTCACCATGATCTCCATGAAAATTTTCCTTCACCTTTGCAGTTAGCCCTAGTTAAAAAAGTTGCATGGGCACTAATCTGTGGTGTTGACGTGGAAGTCCAATGTCCAGTGTTTGGAAGATCTACATCAGGGATGGCTAATCTGCGGCCCTCCAGATATTGCACTCCCAACTCCCATCAGCCTCTGCCTTCAAGACAAATGGGCAGGAATGCTGGGAGTTGTAGTTCAACGTCAGCTATAGGGTCACAGGTTCGCCATCCTGATCTACGTGGGAAAGGGCGCTGTGAATCTAACGTAGCTGCTTCACGGAACAGCTACCACATAGTTATCATGAAATAAAAAGCAGCCATATATTGAATCTATGCCATATCTCATTCAATATTAGTCAGTAAAGAGTCCTCTCCAACTCAGCAACCTGGATTCAGAATTCTACTGATTTGGGTAGAAGAAGAAAATACGGTATAGTAAATGCAGGAAAGTCCTAGGTATGTTGGTGTGGAGATGACTATGCTGAAATCTGTTGTGTTAAAAGCCCATTGCAAATGAGCTTTCCAACGTGGATTTGCAGACTAACTTAACTACTGATAAGGAGTTTTCTTATGCATGTGGGAGAAGAGTGTCATCATTTGTATTTCCCTAATGCACCTAAGTCTACTCATTGCTCCTCAAAAGGCAGCCATCGCTCACACCCTCTCTAAAGAACAGCACATCTGCGGCAGCTTCTCTTCCCAGCACTGTTTTTGTATATATGTACTTCTGCTGGCTTTGCAAAATAGAGGCAACAGAAAGGCTTGATAGAAGGAATGTATAAGAGAGAAGCAGGTAACAGCCAGTGAAAGGAAGTACAAGAAGCACTGAAGGCTTGGTGTTGGATATGGTACATTGACAAATGAAGGAACATTGGCAGAAGACCATCAGATGCACTGTGGTGTCAGTTTACTCATTGTTTGAAAACCTACATGTCCAAGCCACACAGACTCAGGCTTTTTGGAATGTGTTCCCAGAGAATTCTGCTGGAATTTGGCAAGGACTTCAGTAACACACAGCATCAAGTCTCAGTTGACACCGAAACCCAAAAGCATGTTATCAATTGTAGTTAGAACTAAGTCTATCTCAGAAATGTTATCTCAGAAATGTTAGTTACTCATCTGAAAAACTAAAAGGAATTTTAAAAACCCCACCTTTGTAGTGGTGTTATCGATGAGGGAGGGTAGACCAATACAAAAGCCAGCAATAGCAAACAACATTGGCAACAACACCAATAAAAAATTCACACAGAGCATATTGAAATATTCAACAAGCACAGTTCTATTTTCCCTGTTTATTTTTGATGATCTAATTTTGAGAATGGAAAATTGTGCAGTTATAACTGCACTTTATGTTGTTATCAAGTACTACAGAATTTTGGTGCATACCAGATGTTTATATGGGACTTGGATTCAATGGAGCAATCACGGAAGTGGAAAGCACTTTTGCCATGCCTTGTGGTTCTAGTTTTTTGCTGCATCAGTTGTGATCCTATATTGCATCTCACCCTCAGCCTGTTACTCTGGTGCCATTAAAATAGATGAGTGTTTCAGTGTTCCATCAGGTGGGGCAGAGTACCCACTGCAAACTTTCCTTGGGTGCATTGCAGTGGCAAAACCGTGTTAACATGGAAATGCAAGGGAGGACCAAGTCACATGCCACCCAAGTGGTTGTGCTGCATCCATGCAGTGCTAATAATAATAATAATAATAATAATAATAATAATAATAATAACAATTTATTATTTATACCCCACCCATTGTGCTATATCATGCTACAGTGCACTAGCACTGCCTGTAGAAAGGAATCACGTGGTTCAAGTTACTCAGGCCAGCACCGCCCCTGCCTTGGAGTCTATCAACCATGTCAATTGGCTGACCCACAATTCTCCTTCCTGAAGTTTTTAGCACAATTATGACAGGACAAGCAGAAGGGACTTGGATCAAGGCCCATTGGTCGGAGCGAGTCTCAGGAGCAGGACTCAAGGCAAATGACTAACTTATACCCTCAAGCATGTCTTCTTCGCCAGTGTTCTTCAACCTTGGGTCCCCAGATGTTGTAGTAAGTGGGTCAAGGAGATACATATGGGAACCAGGATCCCAGTGGGCTGGCAGGGATGAACATCCAGACCATAGTGGCCAGCATGGAGCCCTAAAGCAACACTCCTACTATAGCCAAGCTGCGTATCCCCAGAGACTTGCTGAATAACCCCAGAAGCCTAGTAGATAGTCAACAAGCAGTTTAAGAGATTGAGGTATTGGTAAACCTATGGCCCTCCATATGTTGTAGGACTGCAACTGGCCATTGGGCATGCTGGCTAGGGCTGATGTGAGTTGGAGTTCAACAACATGGGGGGGGGGCACAGGTTCCTCATTCCTCCTCTAGATAAGGTTAGCAGACATCCCCGTTTCCCAGGGACAGTCCCCGGATTTACAAATCAGCCCCCATACAAAATCTATTGAAGTTAAAAAGTGTCCCCGGATTCATTGAAAAAAATCTGGTAACCTTAGAATAAACACCATTGTCTGACCTAAGGGCTTGATTTGGACACTCATATGATCAATGGTGTGCAGCTACACCAATCCATCCATTGGCACACACAACTAAGGTCCAGATACATGGATGCCAAACAACTACAAGCTGTCACTAGTTCAACCTTTCCTTACAAAATGCTTAGGTAACCTGCGGAGTAGAGCCAACTTCCCCCAAGACAGCTTATCCTCCTCCTACCACCGCCTCCTTCCAGTATGCTAATATTCAACAGGGTTTCTGAACTCCCGAAGAGTAGACAAATACAAGTTCTCAGCATTTCACACAAACCCACGGATGACTTCTAAGTGAGAAAGAAAATAAGGTCATCACTAGATATTTGCATTATTCAAAGCATCAAACAGAGTACCTGGCACTTAAAAATGGGCTTTTATGGGACTTGGGGTGGATTTTTTTTTTGTATTTTTTGCTTTGCATGCTAGATCACATGTAGGTTATTCATGTTTGACACTCAGCATCATTTCTGATGAATTATAAATGTAATTTCCAGGGTTTTTCCTTTTTTGTTGTTAAAAAGGCAGGTTTTTAAGATTTCTGCTGAAAATTATACCGGTAACGCAGGAGCTATTCTTTATCAAAGTGATTACAAGTGTTGTTCTGTAGAAATGCTCTGCAAGCATTCTCCTGAGAGCCGCATCCTGAAAGCTCTTTCTCTGACATGTTACTCTTTCCTAGCTCAGTAATTCCACTTACATCAACAATGGAGCCACAAATGTTTATGTGAAATTATGAAATAATTTCAGATGAATTAGAGCTGAGTTACCTAAACAAGAGAGTTATGGGGTATGTAGTTCTTGTTGACTTTTCATCATTAAAAAAATGCTTGAATGTTTTCCATGCAATAACAAAATGAAATGAAAATTATGCATTAAAAAACTAGCATGTTACAGGTAAGAGCTCTAGCCTGACTTTTCCTGATTTGCTAGTTATCTGTGTACAGGGAGATCACTGTAGTCACATAGTGCCAGGAGGAAATATAGCAAGGGTACTAGTCTATTCTGCTTTGGTCAAACCTCACCTGGAACACCTGTGTCCAGTTCTGGGCACCACATTTTAATATATGCACAAACTGGAATGTCTCCAGAGAAGGTCAGCAAAAATGGTGAGAGACCTGGAGACCAGGTTTGAAAGAGTTTGGGGTTTTTAGCCTGGAGAAAAGATCATTTAAGAGATGATATAACAGCTCCCTTCAAATATTTCAAATATTTGAATTCAAATATTCAGGTAGATGATGGAACAAATTGGTTTTCTGTCATTCCAGAGGGTAGGACTGAAAGCAATGGGATCAAATTACAAGAAAAAGGGTCTAGACTAAACTTTAAGGAAAGAGTGGTACTGCACAGACTGTAGAAGAAAGTGGTTGGAGATTTAAAAACAGGCTTTAAAAAAAAAAGATGGACTTTTAAACAGAGGCTGGATGGTCAATTATTAGGAATTCTGTAAAAGTGGATTTCCTGTGTTGGTAATGACCTTTAAAATTCCTTCCAATGCTATGATTCTAAGCTAACTGCCTCAGCGGTTGTGTCATTTAGCTCTCAATTCATATACTGGTAATATGTTGTGGGTTCCGGCCGTAAAATGAACTGAAAGAGACTGTCAGGATTTAGGCTGATTTGGTCCTATATAGTGATGAAACAAACTGATGAAGTTCTAGTCTATGAAAGTTGGTGCCATAATAAATTTGTAAATCTAAGGTATTCATCACTGGACATTTTTTATTTTTAAAATTGAAATCTAATTACAGAAGCAGACTTCTCAGTGCACCAATAAAATAAGAAAATCCCGCTGTCATTTACTACAAGTCATCTTTAACTTTTGCCTGTCATATGCAAACAACAAAATAGGCTTAATTCTTGTTTCATCATGTTGAACAATGCACTTTGTCTGTATATTTCAGTATAGCATGAAATCAGAACTGGGTCTAGTGAGGTTTATTTACAATCCTGGGGGTTCTAGGGTCTCTGCACAATCTACACTGACATATGCCTGAGAACAGGCTAGGGGTGAGGGAGCGAAATAATTTTAAAATACCAGTGATGAATTTATTCTGAATATATTGTTTCAGTGATTACACAATAGACACCAATAGACTATGAATGTGTTTGACTGAATTCTCTGTTGACACCACAGGTCACTAGTGTTTTGTCTTTATAAATATTATTCAGTGGTCTCTTGCTTGGCAGTTTATCAAGTGCAATCATTTCACTGTTCCTCACTGCTATTTTTCAAGCTGGAGTTGATTTCAATAAAATATGTAAAGTTTGCCTTAAGTTCTCACTGTAAATTTCACAAAAACAAAGAATGTGGATTGCTAGAGTGTAGATATTTTGTGTGTGTGTGTGTGTTTATGTGCAGGCAGTGTACCCAGGCGTGAATATGTAGAAACATTTAGAAGAATATGCATGTGTTGCTCTCCTCACATTACTTGTTTAAAAAACATATACTCCCCACGTATCATTTTTACATTTGAAGGCACAAGGGTGGTTTTTCAAAACAGTAAGAGGAGCAGCCCTAAGTGGCAGTTTAGAGTGTTATTCACAATGTAGAAAACAACTTTTTGTTGGCGTTTAATAAAATATTTACAATATGTGGATTTCCATAAATACACTACAGTTGAAACTGTGCTGTTTATTTCCTTAATTATAATCAATACATTATATATGAAGCATTATGTCTGGAACATTTATGAATGAACGTGTATGTGAACAGTTTAATTTTTGATCAGCTGATCCTCACTTATTTTGCAGCTGGGAATGCAACTCAAAAAATTAAATAGTATGTTATCATTTTTAACCTAGCTTCTTCCTTGCCGGGTCCCTTGATTCACCTCTTGTGGAAATTAGATATTTTCCATTATGGCTGTGGAGACTGAGGCAAAGCAGATACTCAAGTATAGCTCCTAAAGTCATTATTTTGTGTGTGTGTGTGTGTACGCACGTGCATACACACGCAAATACACACACTTTAAAACAAAAGCAAAGACGCAAAGAACTTACGACAGACTATATAGCTTGGGTGCAAATGTGCTCTGTTCCTGACTAGCAAATGAGTACTGCTGAGAGGTATAGCTCAGTTGGTAGAGCATGAGACTCTTAATCTCAGGGTCTTAGGCTTGGGCAAAAAATCCCTGCATTGCAGGGGGTTGGACTAAATGATCTTCATGGTCCCTTCCAACTCTTCTATGATTCTAAAAGTGACCCCTGATCCAGAAATGTTCTTCCATTTACAAAAGCTCTTTTTGCAAGACTTTGTACAAGCTCTTTGTCAATACTGTGTTACAGACCACTGGTGTTTAAATGCTACAACCTCTGTCTTCTATTCACCATGTTTCTCGGATACACACACTTGTACATTATGCCACTGCTAGAAATCTTCCAGTAGCTTGCGCAACAGTTCATGGACCCATAGTAATATATTTACGCTTTCCACTCACGGTTCTGTGGTCCAGCCCTGTGTTGTGTTTCAGTTTGAAAGGTAGTAAGGAAGGATATGTGTTTAACAAGGCTAGCTGCTGATTTTCAGTTGATCTGCCTTTTACCCAACTAACTAGGGAAATAATTTATTATACACAAATAACTGTCCATAGTATATTAACTGCGTTGCAATTACTGTATATACTTGAGTATAAGCCAACCCGAATATAAGCCGGGCACCTAATTTTACCACAAAAAGCTGGGAAAACATATTGACTTGAGTATAAGCCGGTTCACCGCACCACAAATCTCCAGGTGGTCTGGAGTGCATGTGTGTGCGCGCACAGACACACACGGCAGAGGGGGGCTTCTCTCTTCCCCCCTGCCCCTCCCGTCCCCCTACCTACCCAAGAGGCAGAGGCTGGTGGTGGCAGTGGCGGAGGAAGAACAAGCAGTCCAAAAGGTCTGCTTTCGGGCCGTGCGTTCCTCCTCCTCCGCCGCTGACAGCGGCAAAGGTGGAGGAGGAGGAAGGAGCAGCCTGAATGGACCCTCACTCGAGTATAAGCTGAGGGGGGCTTTTTCAGCATTAAAAATGTGCTGAAAAAGTCATCTTATACTAGAGTATATACGGTAATTACATATTGCATTGCGTTACCATAGGTGCTTTATTTAAATACTATTTTCCTTCTGCGTTTGCTTTTTGCAAGGTTTCAGAGGGTTTTCCTAGGGTTTTTTTGTGTGCGAATTTTGGGGTCAAAATCCTGTGGTCAAGAACGCATTGGACACTTCAGGTCAATTTTTATTCTTCTGTACACCCTCCTGGAAATTTAGGTTGAAGGACAGGTAAGAAATATATTAAATAAAAGAAAACGAATATAGTATCTCAAGCTTGGTCTACACATGCAGCAGAATAAGGAGATAGAATACCCAGGTAGATGAGTGGCATCTTCCAATTTAGGCTACAAGCGAGGAATGCTAATTGTGAGCGTTTTCTTATAAAAACCTGCAAGCAAGCAAAATGCACAGACACACACTCTCTCCCTGCTATGCTAATTTTATACGTACAGAGAGTTCTTTTTTATGCTGGGGAGCATCAAAAAATTTGAGGGGCTACAGTCCATTTGATCACCTCAGGCCTCTGCCACCAGGCCTCCCATGCGTAGTCTGGTTTCAACAATCCTGACAACTACCATGTAAAATAAGTCAATACTTTAGTATGTTCACTGTATTACAAATCCGTAGCTTAAAGGGGGGGGAATGGTTGCCTTTTAATAACTTAGAAGGGGTTCACAGCAGAGGCAAGATTTGAACTTCCTGCTTCAGTGGTTCACAGTTCAATTCTCTGGACCACTCCACTCCATTAGCCTCACTTTACAATTGGCTGCGATATCCCATTCACACAGTGAGGAAAGCAAGGGTAGCCTTGTTGTGAAGGGGTAGTAGCAGAGTCAATACTGTGTGTGTGTGTGTGTGTGTGTGTGTGTGTGTGTGTTTTGCAATGCTAGAAACGGGAAGTATACTCCATTCAAAGAACTTTTTGTAAAAGAGAAACATTTCCAAAATGTTTTTGTTGTTTTCTTTTGCTGGGAGTAAGGGGCAAATACAGTGGTACCTCGGGTTACACACACTTCAGGTTACAGACTCCGCTAATCCAGAAATAGTACCTCGGGTTAAGAACTTTGCTTTAGGATGAGAACAGAAAATCGTGCTCCGGCGGCGTGGCAGCAGCAGGAGGCCCCATTAGCTAAAGTGGTGCTTCAGGTTAAGAACAGTTTCAGGTTAAGAACGGACCTCTGGAACGAATTAAGTACTTAACCCGAGGTACCACTGTATACATTGCTAGCATTTACCCTCAAATGACTTGAAATCAGTAGCTCCACTGATTGTGCTATGTGCCATAAGTGTCAAGTTCACAAAGTGGGGGGGGGAGTCCCAGGCCACTTATGCATCTCCCCCAAAGAAAAACTGTGTTGCCGAGAGAGAGAGAGAGAGAGAGAGAGAGAGAGAGCGCAAGAAGATATCTGTTTGCATAAACATGGCATATGGTAAAGCCATTTCCGACCTGGGAGGAGAGGGGGTTGTGGGCAGAAATCCCTCCCACATCACACACACGGGGGCTGGCCCTTGCCCCCGCGTGATCAGGGAATCCCTGGGCGTGTCGGCAACCCGGCCCGCCAATCAGCGGACCGGGGAGGCGTGGCCTAGCCTATTTAAGGCCAGGCACGCCCGGGGACCGCCCTCTTTGCCCATTTCCAGCCGAGCGGTTTTCCCATCCCACCCACCCTTTAGGTTTAGCTAGCTTTGACCTTGCTATGGACTTCGGTTGGTCGCCGCAAGGGGCCTGGTAGGAATTTTTCCAATTCGGCGCAC